CCTCTTGGAACAGCAGCAATAATTTGTTGGCTTGAGCTAACTTTATGGAGAAAGCCTGCAGTGCTTCATTGTATCCAATGGATTGTGTTTGATCCCTGCCGGCTGTTTTGTGTTTGTCAGATTTGTGGTCATGTCGCCTATCCTTGTTAATCAAAGTGTACCTGCCACAATTATGTTTATTTCCCTAAGTGTTACCTGATGTCCTAATAAAATAATAATAAGCCTTTTGACTGTATTTTAATTGCACAGCAAGAAACAAATGGTAACAATGGACTCAACCAATATTACAGATAATCCACAATTTTATTTCTGAGAATAGCATGTGAAAAAAAGCACAAGAAACCCTATGACGGACAGTTAGAAAATAAACAGACCAAGTTTCATCTTAGCCCATATCATTTAGTGGATGGATTATATACTCAAGTATGTGTTAAAAATATAACTGCTTTAGCCTACCTAATGTTTTCATTATCCATATAAATGTCAAATTCAGTTTTGATTCCTACTAAATTATAGGCCTGGGTGAGATCTTTTGGCAATGGGTTTTGCAGGTTAATTATGTTTTAGGTAAAAAAAAAACCCTGTACCTAAAATTCATGCAAACATTTTAAATCATTTTACCCATCATGCACTTTAGCTGACATAAAAGTTTGTGAGATGGTTAAAAAAATGAGGCATACCTATGCCTGTCTTAACTTGAAATCCTATTTGCACAGCCAGATTCCTTGCCAGGTTGCCTTCTAAAATATATTTTTCACTATTAGGTAAGTTATAGCAGCAGAGGAAAGGAGAATAAATAAGGGCAAAAATATTTTATGATATCCAACCATCTTGATTATAGTTAGTATATTATACTATGCAGATATAAGAGCTCATTTTAACTAAACTGTTTTGAAGTCCATATACTACTTTAGCTCCAATAGCTTCTGAATGTCCTGAAATTTTTGTGTCTCTATATTAGGGTTTACTATATTGCAAGTGAAAGAAGATGTTTTACTTTACAGGATATATAAATAAGTTTTACAAAATCACCTAACCTAAATCACCTGTGGTATATCTGCTAACTAATTTCACTGTTTGACTCACAATAGAGTACAATATCTCTATGTTGGGTAAATGCCGTGGTCCATTATCATCACAGTATTGTTTTAATAGAGGAAATTTTGCATTTTTCTGATAACCTATGTTGAAGATGATGCAATATCAAATTAATAATATAAATTCTTAAACATAGGCCATCAGCCAATGAAAACATGAACTAAAGCCATCAAATGTTTTTTCCGTAATATCTTATCTAGTTGACTTTTATATTGAAATAGATTAAAACTAGTGTATAATCCACTCAAACACATACAGGGCTTGGTGGTACAAATTCTTTTACATTTCTCAACAGGCTGTTGTGTTCCAGCTCATGTGGGCATGGAGGTTATTCATGGGTATAAACACTATAGAGAGAGTCCGCTGAAGTGAATGGAAATACAATAAGTTTTCAGTCACCTCCTGCACACTCACACTATCACTCACAGGAACACTGATGGGCCTTAGGCAAAAGTCATCTGAGCACCTCTCTAGGTGCTGCTCTCTAAGGGTACGTCTACACAGTGTGGCTGTTTTGGGATACCGTAGGTCTTAACAAGCCACCCTTCTATATGTTTCAAAATAATGGGTGTGCTATTTCGACATCCCTGTAACACGCATTCCACTAGGGCTAAGGGATGTCCCAAAATAGTGTTATTTCAAAATTTGGTGGTGTGCATATGTGCATGTGCTGTGCATATGCACCAAATTTCAAAATAAGCTATTTCAAAATAGAATTGAAATAATGTTTCCAGTTTAGGGTGCTGTGTAGACACACCCTAATTCAACTCCATTAAAGACCGTGGAAGACACTTGTTAACTTCTATTGCTACTGGATTAGATCCTTAGGCTACGTCTTCACTGCCAGTTCTTTTGGCAGAAAATATGCTAATGATGTACTCATTAGCATAAGTTGTGATCTCATTAGCATATTTTCTGCCATTTTGTTTTGTGCTAGGGGTTTTTGTGCAAAAAGAAGTGCTGTGGACATGGATTTTTTTGCGCAAAAATCCCGGATAGGCCTAAGGATCTTGAGCAAAATGCGAGGTTTGCTAAAAAAACCCACATCCACACCACTTCTTTTTGCACAAAACCCCCTTGCACAAAAAGAAACAGTAGAAAATATGCTAATGAGATTATGATTTAAGCTAATGAGTCCCTCATTAGCATATTTTCTGCCAGAAGAACTGGCAGTAAAGACGTAGCCTTATTGATTATCTAGAAGAAGTCACTGTACAGAAGTGCCCTCTTTGATAAAAATACTCTGCCTTTTTTATTTAAGAAATGGATAAATAAAGAAAAATAAGATACTGTTTTGTTTTTAAAGTGATGCAATAGGCATTCATCTCCAATAGTTGAGCAAACCAAAATTTAAAAAAATCAATTGAGTAATATATTCAAAAGCATTGTAAAATTCGTCTAATGCATTACTCGACCATGATCCTTAAATCACTCTATACATTTTACCTTGTTTTGTCACCCATCATACTCCACACATGAACTATTTAGTCCAAGCCAAAACTGTGTAGTGAGGTCTTCCATTTATAAAGAATGTGCCTATAGGTTCCCTCACATTGGCTAATACAATGACCATTAACCTCCTTAGCCTGTTCTTTTTCTTTCTGTCTCCCTTGGTAAAGAGTGATTTCACTCAGTTCTGTTATCTCTCTCAGCAAGTGGTTAAGTGACACGTATCATTTATGTTGTTAAAACTAAGACCATTCAACTGGTTTCTGTAAAATCTATGCAGTGACAGACATGAACACTTGCACTATTTATGGCTAGGGTTTATTTGGCCACACTGGTTTCAGAAATGGTTATATTAACAGTTACTTTATGTATGGGTAAAGGAGTTGGTTATGTTACTTAAAAATAGTGAGAGCAATATATTAAAATGACACAAATGCATTTATCAGCACTTACTAAAAAATGTGTGCTTAAATGTTTACTTTTGCTATAAATTGTTTAAAAAGAGACATGCTCAGCTCTCTTTTTCCAAAATACAGACAGCTAAATACTGTCAGTCACATTTTTCACAACTTGCATGTTCCTTATTAATGTATTACAGTCACAAACTGAGATAAATTATGTGTCCTCTTCAAGAGGAAGTGAGCAGCCATCAGTGATGACAGAATAGGTTAACGATTATTTAGAAAATCTGAACAAGTCCATGGGTCAGATGCAATGAATCTGTCCATTTTTACATTTTACCTCACGCCATAGCTGTGTGTTCGTTAGAAGGCAGTCTGTCCCCAAGTACAAATCCATGATGATTTGCTGAGGTAGCCATATGAGCTTATGAAAGGATTTTTTTAATGTAATTTTAGAAAATGCCATAGACTCACTAACACATTAACTCATATTAATAATGAAGTGAGCAGGCAGTGTTCAGATCCAAATGGGGGTTAGGTTAGCATTTGGAGTTCATTGAATGCCAAAAGGCTTTCATCTGCTCTTGTGAGGTTTCCAAGCCATATGCCAGACATCTTACAGAAATAATTTTATCTCGTGCTATTTCTGCCATCTTGGGACAAAACTCTGGTGCATCTAAAGCAGGGCTGGAAAATAGGCATCTTCTAGATTTGGATACAAAATATAAAGGGATTCGGACTTGAGGCTGCAGTTCTGAATCATTGAAAATATAAATCATATTTCAGTGCTGAAAGCGCTGCTAAATGTAAAGGGAAAAAATGATGCTTGTATTAGTACATAGGCATCTCTGCTTGCTACAGAGACCATGACCACACTCAGTCAACAGCCAGAGTTGCTCATCAGCCTAACCACAGGAACCCCAGTTGCAAGTGAAAGACTCACACCTCTTAAAGTGCATGCATTGTTATGTATCCCACATAAAAATTTTTTGTAACATGGAGTTAAGGCTGGAGTCAAGTTCATTTCATAACAGCATTCTTAGTATAAACCAGTAAAATGATACATAAACATGCTGATTCATCTGTCTGCCATCAGATATAACAGTACACAAGAACTGCACAAGGACTCACTGTTTTTAAATGTAACAATAGCACATTATACTTCTTTTACAGTGAAAGTATATGTCAGGAAAATATCTTAGCCATGTAGAAATTGCAGTTACACTTGTGCATTTGATTGTGATTTCAGGTAACTGAGTGTACATTCACATTGCACACTTGTTTTAAAACAAGCTATTCTGGAAGAAATACTCCAAAATAGCTTATTTCAAAATAGCATGTATACCCTACAGGGAAGTCTCAAAATTAGCCCATGGCAGGCTTCCCGAATGTGGACATGCTACCTCGATTTAGAGCCCCAGAAGGCACTGGGACATAATTAGTTTGAATGGCCCTTGAGAAGAGCTATTTCAAAATAGCAGCAGTGGAGCGTCCACACTACAGCTATTTCAAAATAGCTATTTTGGAATAAATATTATTCCTTGTGGAATGAGGTTTACAGAAGTCAGAATAAGCCGTCCGTTATTTCAAATTTATTTTGAAATGACAGAATTGCTGTGTAGATGCTCACATTGCTATTTTGAAAGAACATCAGTTATTTTGAAATAATTGTGCTGTGTAACAGAATTGCTGAATGAGCAATCACGCAGCACCTAGCCTAGGGTGATGAGAGGTCCAGTTTTGATAGGGACAATCCTGATATTTGGGTGTTTATCTTATATGGGCACTTATTACCACCTCCAGCCCTATTTTTCACACTAGCTACCCAGTGAACTGGTATGTGAACACTGCAACCTGATTCTTGCTGTGACTTGTGAGTGAGGAACTTGTGGTCAGATAGGTTGTGGAGGAGAACTATTGTAATATTGCTTAAACTTGGAGTACAAAGATGCCCCTCTGACATGAGCTACCACAGGTCGATTGGATAGGGAAGGCAAAAAAAGCATGAGTCATCCATGGTCTTCCTCTTTCTATTCCAGTACTCACCATCTAAATCTCCTACATTGTCTCCTCCATGACTTCAGCAGACTGAACTGGAAAAATCCCTTCTTCTTCCTTCCCTGCTTGTGCTCCCACAACTGTATTTATATCTTCATCCTTCATGTAGTCCAGCTTCTTTCTCCAATGGGAGACCTCCACTATTGTTCCAAAACAATGGCAATGTGGTAAGTTTTCTGATGCAGAGAATTTAGCAGACCAGACTCATTTCTGCTCAAGCCAATGTCTGATGCCTTACTCACTTTGTCAAGTCATGTATTCACTCACACATAGGTGCTATCTTCTTTTCTACTGGGGAGTTGCTCAACTCTGCCCCCTCACACCAAGCCCACCCCCACTCTACCCCTTCCTCCAAGTCCCCACTCCACTTTTCCTGCCCCCTTCAAAAAGCATGCCCGTTCCTGCTCCTCCTCCTCTTTTCAAGTGCCTCCTGCACATCATGCAACTTCTGTTCTATTATGAGCAGGAGGTGCTGAGATGGAGGGGGAAGAGCTGGACAGTGGAGTCATTGTTGGTCAAGAGGCACTGGGGGAAAGAGAGAGCTTGGTGTGTGCTAAGCACCTGCTAATGGTGTTCTATGAATGCTTCAGCCTTAGAGAATCCAGAGTTGGCACCCTATACACCCACCTACATTACAGGAATCATATTATAGAAATGTTTAATATATACACCTTACCCTCATATCCTGCTCCATGAACTCTTTCATTCATTCAGCTCCTGCTCCAACTCTACACTTCTGCCCTTCTGTCATGCCATGGTGGTATTAAGAGGAGTGTCCCAGGGGTTGATCCTTGGGATGGTTTTGTTCAACATCCTCATTAATGAGCTGGACTACATCTTCAGCAAGTTCATGTATGGTTCTAAGATAAGATAAGAAGTAGAACAGTATGGGTGAGGGGGGAAGTGACCAGCCATCAGTGGTGAAAGAACATATTAAGGACTATTTAGAAAAGCTGGACAGACACAAGTCAATGGGGTCAGATGAATGGATTCAAGTGGCCTAAGGGTGTTGGCTGGTGTGATTGCAGATCCATTGGCCATTATCTTTGAAAATACATGGTGATTAGGGGAGGTTCCACATGACTGGAAAAATACAATACAGTGCCAATCTTCTAAAAATGGAAGGAGAATCTGGGGTACTACAAAGTGGACAGACTCACTTCAGGCCCCAGAAATATCATGGAGCAGGCTCTTAAGGAATCCACTTTGAAACTCATGGAGGAGAGGAAGGTGATCAGGAAAAATCAACATGGATTTGCCAAGGGCAAGTCAGGCCTAATCTGATTGCCTTTTATGATAAGATAACTGGCTCTCTGGAAATGGTAGGCCTGATGCACCCTGATTTTAGCAAAGCTTTTGATTCAGTCTTCAACAGAATTCTTGCTAGCAAGTTAAAGAAGTATGGAGTGGATGAATGGGCTATAAGGTGGACAGAACCTAGATTGTTAGGTTAAATGGGCAGTGGTCAACAGCTCATTGTTTAGTTGGCACCTGGTATCAAGACCTTAGAAGTCAGTTCTGGGGCCAGTTTTTTTCAACATCAACATTAATTATCAGGATAATAGAATGGGTTGCATCTTCAGCAAGTTCACAGGTGACACTAAACGGGGGGAGAGGTCGATATACTGGAAGATAGGGACCTACACAAATTGGAGGATTGGGCCAAAAGGAATCTGATGAGATTCAACAAGGATGGAAGAATCCGATGCAGTGCTACATGCTGGAAACTGACTGGCTACATGGCAGTTCTGCAGAAAAGGACTTGGGATTTACTGGGGATGAGAAGCTGGATATGAGTCAATAGTGTTCCCTTGCCAAAAAGGCTAATGGCATATTGAGCTGTATTAGTAGAAGCATTACCAGCAGATGAAGGTTTCAACTACCTGAAGGGGAGTTCCAAAGAGGATGGAGTTAGGCTGTTCTTAGTATTGGGGTAAGACAAAATGAGGAGCAATGGTCTCAATTCGCATGTGGAAGATCAAGGTTGGATATAAAATTAATGGTGATTGCCTATCTCCTAGAACTGGAAGGGACCTTGAAAGGTCATCAAGTCCAGTCCCCTGACTTCACAGCAGGACCAAGTACCATCCCTGACAAATTTTTGCCCCCAATCCCTGAATAGCCTCTGCAAGAGCTCACAATCCTGAGCTATCCCTCCCTCACAAACCACTGAGCTATCACTCCCTCACAAGGAAAACCTATTTCACTAGGAGGGTGTTGAAGCACTGGAATGGGTTACCTAGGCCTGGTCTACACTAGACTGAGAAGGTCAGCTCAAGGTATGCAACTCCAGCTACGTAAAATGCTTAGCTGGAGTAGATTTATCTTAAGTTGAGCCTTGGTAGTGTCCACACTGTGGGAGTCCAATGAGAGCAAATGTTCTCATTGGCTTCCCTTACTTCTCACAAAAGGTGGAGTACCAGATGTTGGTGCTATATAGGGGGTTGGACTAGATGACTTCCTGAAGTCTCTTTCAACCCTAATCTTCTGTGATTCTATGTTGTGCCCTTTACATAAAATATTTGTCATTATCTGCCATGCATTCTCTATCCCATTGGCTCTGAACCGTTCCAAACTACTGTACCACTTTAAGGAATCTGATTTGTCATGTACATCCCAGATTTCATTTCTTTAAAAAAATACTTGCTTATAAAATCAGACATAAAAATTCAAAAGTATCGCAGCATGCTATTACTGAAACCTTGCTTACTTTCTCATTTTACCACATAATTATAAAATAAATCAATTGTGATATGAATTTGGTACTTACTTTTCAGTTTATAGTATATGGAGCAATATAAAGAAGACATTATCTGTAAGAAATTTTAGTTTGCTAGTGCTTTTTATGTAAAACTAGGCAACTATCTAGATGAGTTGATGGACCCCCCAGAAGACCGCTGCGCACCCCTTAGGGTAACACATGCCTCTTGTAGAGAACCATTGCTTTATCCCATTCCAAATTCCTCCATATCTTCTAGATATACTTTCTGTTTTTCTTCTTACCATTAATAATCCACAGACTTGCTTTCCCTTTAAGTGGTGGCCCATAGTCTTGCCCTGTGTTTATCTTGATTAATTTAGACAGATTTCCTGGAGTAGAAAATGTTTTCTTCCTCTGTGACAGAATCAGAGACCCTTACTTACAGATACTTTGTATTAGAAAAAAAATATAGCCACCCACAATAAAATCCAAATTAGACCTATGGGAGACACAGGTTTGACTTAAGAGGACAAATCCTGCCATCACAAATCTTGTAGGCACTCTGCTGGTATGATCATAAAATCACAGAAAACTAGTAGTGGAAAGGACTGCAATAAGTCACCAAATTCAGTCACCTGCACTTAAGGCAGAGCTAAGTACTAGTTAGATCATTCCTGATGTTTTTGTCTTTTCTAGTCTTAAAAATCTCCAGTGATAGAGATTACACATCCTCCATAGGTAATTTGGATAATCACAGCATGAATCTTTATAAAAATCTGGTTGTTGCTAGAGTACAACTTAGACTGGATCCATATCTCAAAATATGTACCTTTTATGGGGTGATAAGCCCAGCCACCTCAGAGACAGGGTGTTGAGCCTCTCAGGTCCCTTCTTGGGTTCTCCACCTTGTAATTACAGTCCCTGAGTCAGTAGAGACCCCATCAGTGGGACACTAGGGCCCAGTGGCCAAGTCAGCATTGGACCCAGCAGCCTAGTCATTAGTGGACCCCATCTGTGGGGCACTAGTGGTCAAGTCCATAGCAGCCTCCATCAAGGGGCAGTAGGGCCCAGAAACATAGTCAGTAACAAATGCTCCCTATTGCAGAGCAGTAAGGACTACTGGCCCACATCTGTAGTCCAGATGTAGCGCCCCCCTCCCTTTGGGGGTCAATGGGATGGGGTAGGGAGACCCAGGCCCTCCCTCTCCACTGGGTCTCAGTCCAAGGCCCTGTGGGTATGTCTACACTACCACCCTAGTTCAAACTAGGGTGGTAATGTGGGCAATCGGAGTTGCAAATGAAGCCCGGGATTTGAATTTCCTGGGCTTCATTTGCATAAAGCCGGGCGCCGCCATTTTTAAATGTCCGCTAGTGCGGCTCAGGGTAGGGAGCTGGAGCAACCTGGGAACTCAGCATGTTTTGGGTGGATTCTCCACTGAGCTAATGGTGGGACATGCCCACCACTGACAGGGTATGTCTACACTACCACCCTAGTTCGAACTAGGGTGGTAGTGTAGACATACCCTGTCAGTGGTGGGCATGTCCCACCATTAGCTCAGTGGAGAATCCACCCAAAACATGCTGAGTTCCCAGGTTGCTCCAGCTCCCTACCCTGAGCTACTTCCTACCCTGTTCCAGACCATCAGTGTTTTCCCCACCTGTGTCCTCCGAGCTGTTTGCTTTTCCAGACAGTCTCCACTGGCAGGCCTTTGCTGCAGTGTTTGGTGGTTGCTCCTTCCCTGGACAGAGAGCCTCTCCGGCTGGTCTTTGCTGGCTGGCCTCTGCTGTAGCATCCAACTGTTGTTCCTTATCTAGAACTCTGGCAACAGCTCCTTCCTCTGCAGTGGTAAGTTGTGACTGAGCTGCTCCACTGGCCTTTATATTGGTCCTCCAGTTGGAGCATGTCCAGCAGGTCTGTAGGGAGGGGCTCTCTCAGCCAGATAGGCCTGGGTAACCCCTGTAGGCCCAGTGCAAAGTTGGTACACCCTGTCATAGTACCAAAGGGAAACAAATATTAGAACAGAATCCCACACAGAGGAGTATGACCATTAGCAGAATGGAATATTAATCTAGTAGAAAAAGCCCTTGATTGATCCACTGTGTGGTGATGAATGATTTGTACATTACTGAATATCAAGGACAGAACACAGGACATTTGTCACTTAGGGTACATCTAGACTACATGCCTCTGTCACCAGAGGCATGTAGATTAGACTACCCAGCATAGGAAAATGAAGCGGCGATTTAAATAATCGCCGCTTCATTTAAATTTACATGGCCTCAGCGCTGAGCCGATCAGCTGTTTGTCGGCTCGGCGCGGTAGTCTGGACGTTCCGCGGTTGACATCAAAGGAATTTGTCCACCTCCCAGGTATGCCTCCTGGGATTAAACATACCTGGGAGGTCGACAAATGCCTTTGATGTCGACCGCGGAGAGTCCAAACTACCGCGCTGAGCCGATAAATAGCTGATTGGCTCAGCGTGGCAGCCATGTAAATTTAAATGAAGCGGCGATTATTTAAATCGCCGCTTCATTTTCCTATGCTGGGTAGTCTAATCTACATGCCTCTGGCGATAGAGGCATGTTGTCTACACGTACCCTCAGAGGCATATGGCCCCAAAAGAACATTAACCTGAAATATACTAACTACCTCTTGAAAGTCTGAGAGAAACATCAGCTCTCACAGACTTTAATGAGGGCTGTTGGATAGTCAACACTTTTGCAAAAGCAAACCAATTAGGCTCTTAATTAGGAACCTACTTTTTGAAAATGCTGGACAGTATAATCATCTGATTATGAATCTTGTTAACACATTGCACTAACTTTTCAATAAGCCAGTGTTTCCAGTAAAGATGGCTAATTTGAAATCCCATGGGATATCATAGTAGCTTATGAGATCAGCACATTTTACACACATTCAAAAAAGCAATACCTTGAATTATAATGGAATTATAACAGGCTAGAAGATGCTTTCAAACTCTGGAGACTGATTAATGTGAAATGGATTCTTTTTCACTTGTCAATGTAGGTGTACCTATCTTCATTAATAGAGCGTCATGCTAAGCAATGGAGTAAGAAAATGATTCCACAGTGTTAAGCAGCTGTAGTATTACTTCACTCAAGTGAAAGTCTGTTAAGTGTATGCACAATGTTCTCTAAATACTAATGTACCCATTCAGTACACACAATCAGTGTACCTCGTAATAATTCACTTGCCAGATTGCACTGATAACCTAGTGATAATTTTATACATTTCCAAACAATGTTATTGAATTTTGAAGTGCTATCCCAATATGGGAATTGAATATCCAGTCAACTCCAAGAGCTCAGCTGACAAGGCAAATTTATAGTATGCAACAGTTTGAATCTCTTATTAACTTCAATCATAACCAGTTAATAAAGATTGTACCATTCCTCCCATACCCAGTGGAAAAAAACTCATTTATTTTTTGTCTAATTTACTTTCAGGTGTGCCCCTATTAATAAACTTTTTCCCCTGCATGAGGCAACATGCTGGGAAACACAGAAGAGAGGAAACAATGAAGATTATATATGCAGAGATTTAGTTTGATATGATTTTATTCACTGGGGCCTTGACCACTCATTGTTTTACATGATAGCAGAGAGAAAGCAAAAAAGGTAACATGCAGATCATAAAGTTTCTTTATAACTGGGTTGGCCTCCAAGATATTAGAGAGACAAGGTGGGTGTGGTAATTTTTTTATTGGACCAACTTCTGTTCTACTTCTAGAGACAAGTTTTTGAGCTACCCAAAGCCCAGACATGAACAAGAGGGCTTTGAAAGCTCCTGTCTCTCGGTCTAATAAAAGATATTACATCACATACATAGTCTCGCTATACACACGCTTGTCAGTTTGCTCAGAGACACAAGTGCAAAAAGTCGTATAGAGGTCCAGACCACACCTTCCATCTGCACATGCTAGTTGCGTCTAGACTGGCATGATTTTGCGGAAATACTTTTAATAGAAAAGTTTTTCCATTAAAAGTATTTCCACAAAAGCGCATCTAGATTGGCACAGATGCTTTTGCGCAAAAAGTGCTTTTGCGCAAAAGCATCCGTGGCCAGTCTAGACCCGATTTTGCGCAAGAAAGCTTCAATTGCCATTTTAGCCATCGGGGTTTTTTTGTGCAAAACAGTTCTTTCCTGTCTACACTGGCCCTCTTGAGCAAGTATTCTTGCACAAGAGGGCTTTTTCCTGAGCAGGAGCATGAAAGTATTTGCACAAGAAGCACTGATTTTGTACATTACAAAGTCAGTGCTCTTGCACAAATTCAAGCAGTCAGTTTCAAACAGCTGGCAAGTTTGAAGCAGTTGCTTTCGCGCAAAATCTTGCCAATCTATACTCACCCCCTATGTTTTTATACTTATACTAGGAGAAAAGGAAAATCATGTAGGCAAAGAGTGGAAATGTCCAAGATCACGTATGGTAGCTGGCAGAAGCCTTTCCTACTGCTTAGATAAACAACTTGCTCTTCACCCACCAGAGAAGCAGATCTCAATTTCTGCATGGCCAAAATCAAGGTCAACTGTAGCGGTATTATCCAGAAACCTGAGAGCCACAAGTGCCAAAGCCAATACTCTCTCTAAGAAAGGCCAACAAATCCAGTCTATCTTCTTTGTGATCCACTCCTCATTTGTAGGCAAGTAGGCAGACATGGTTTCCAGCTGTAAGCTAATATTGCAGTTAGGAGGAACCCTAGAATCTCAAGCATGCACGAAAAATAGTTTAAAGACTTCTGGCTCCTGAATCGAGATTTCTTTTCACAGAAAGAAATAAGTATTGCACAGATTCTACAGTCAAAAATCAGACATTTAATTTCGCTTCAGACAGAGCTTTAAATATTACTGCAATGAAATGTCAATATGCTGACTATAACACTGACGCTGCTAACCTTTCATGTAAACTCAACATTTTGTTTTTCTCTTTCTCTCTCTCTCTCTCTCTCTCTCTAAATATATATAGACACACTACATTTGTGCATGATTAATTAAAATATGTCTGATAGAATGGGAAATATAATTAAAATCTTCATCTGCTTATACTGTTAAATCGTACTTTGCATCATTGCTGTTTTATACATTAAGGTACTTGCATTTGAAATACTTTTTTGCTGGGATTTTTTTTTTCTGATTTCCAGTGTGATTCAGTTCAATTTATGGCATCTTTTTCTTTGTTCTCCGTATCAGGATACTAATTTTCACTGATTGTATTCTAAGTAATACAGCAATTTGTGAGCAGTGTTCCCTCTAAGCTGGGAAGCAGCAGAACTTCACAGGTGATTCATCAGTCCCACCCATCAGAGGCTCAGGGCTCCATGCATGGAGCTGACAGATGGGGCAGAGATGATTAATCACTCGTGAAGCTGCGCTGCTGCACAGCTTAGAGGGAACACTGCTTGTGGGGGATTATGATTATCGTAAATTAGAGTATATAACCTGTGCACGAGTATTACCCACACCCATGTATTACCCGGGGTTTTTCATGATTGAGTAAAAAAGTCTTACATACCCCGCGCATGTGTATAGCCCATGGGAGGTGAACCGCAGGTACTGTTAATAAAAGATAACGAGGGTAATTAACGTAGGCGTCAGGGTCTGAGCCTGTCACGCAGAAGCATTTGAAGCATATGAGCTCCCAGATACGCAACTGCCAAAGAGCAGAGTAGATGGCCGCAGTCCGACAGGGCAGACAGGCTGGCTCCCCCGGGGTGAGCTGTTTGCCCCAGGCTTACTCCTCACACCATCTCCAGCCCTCACAAGCTGCCTTCTGTCTGTGCTGTGCACTTCCCCGGGGTGAGCTGTCTGCCCCAGGCAGCCAGAGCCAGGAGCTGAGCAAAGGAGCTGTGTCCTTAAACAGAGCACCCCCGTCCCTCCCACAGAGAGCCAGCCACGTTCGGACTGACACAACAGAGGGAAGAAAGGTCGCTGGGTATTCCCACAGCAAGGGAATCTCCTCTCCCTCCCCACAGATTTCCTGAATTCTCATCCCCCTCTGCTTTGCCTGCTTGGTCCCTCCCTGTGACAGCTGCTCAGGCAGCGACAACGATTCTGATTTGGCACATCAACCGTCACCAAAGTAAAAAAAAAACCTGTATTACATGCGGACGAATATAGCCCACGGGGGGGGAGAGGTAGGGGGGTTAAAACTTTGCATAACCTGCGGATTATCTACGCTAAAACACGGTAACGTATTTCTTGACTCAAACCTAAAGTAGTATCTCTCATTTGCAGTATATTTAGTAACTAACAAGGTCTTCTCTCTCAGAAGACTCTGGCAAAAGTATCTGAGTTATCAATTTTCATGAAAGAATATACACAGTGATGTTGGAACACCTGTCAGTGTCCCTCACTGCCCCCAAAAGGTGGGGCTGGCAACTGGGACCTTGCATATGGGGCCAACAGCCAGGACTATGGGTAACAGTGGTGCAGGGCCTGGATGCCCAAAACCTGGGAGTGCTACAACATCTCCACACCCTTGTTTCCCATGTCTATCAATGTATTGCTAACTAGATTAAATGTTTGCGATAAGAACAGTGAGTAGAAGTCTTTAATTTTAAAATACAAAATGTATAGTCACTTTTTCTTTAGAGTGACATAAAGGAATACCAAACTCTGTGTTAAACTAATAGTTTTCCATTCACATATTGAATTATGTGAAGAATGTCACCACGTGGTATGTTAGGTACAGAACAATGAGGTATAATAATTTGGTGGCTCATATTTGAATGTTCTGTGCCTATTTCAATATCTGTAAGATGATTAATATTGTCTACTATATATTTGAGAGGGTTTGTCTGTATGTCCATCTATTTGCCCCATCCCCAAGGAGGTTGTGCCGTCCTGTCCTCACACAGCTCTGCTG